TATGAACAAAGGAATTTTAATCAGTTTCAAAGACAAAAAATGGTTTTCAAATGAGCAACAAGTTTTTAATCAATCAAATGTTGGTTATAATAAACTTTTTCAAAACCCCTACCAATCACATGCAAAACCAATGTTTCCAAAACGAAATTTTGAAAAGATGGAACTCAATGGGAAGAAAGATGAATCTTTTAAACCTAAACAACCGAATTTTCCCAATCCTCTTTCGAAGCAATCTGTTAAAGCTTCGTTTACCAAAAGGAAATTCGATGTGAAGAATATTAATCGCTGGCTCGAAGGCAAAGGAAAACCTTATCAATAAGGGAAGTTTTCTCAAGAAGAAATCCAGTATTCTTATGAAAGCTACTTGGATGAGTCTTCAAATGGCAGTTCTTCATCAAAGGAGTCGAATCCCTCTGTTTGACAATGGAAAGCTATTCTCAAAGCAAAGGTTGATGTGAAATGAAATGAGAAGGAAAAAGGGAAAGTCAATGTTGAACCTAAACTAACGAATGATTTCATTTTGATAACTATGTCTAATGAAGTTGACTTAATCGATAGTTTGAAATCCAAAGTTCATAATTGGGTGCTAGGTTCTTCATTTCACAATGTATTTCAAACTAATCACCAAGGACCCAAAAAGGATTAGGGACCTAAATTTTTCCATTGATTGCAGGTTTTATGTGACGAGCATTATGATGAACATTGGTACATCGATATTCGTTGCTCTCGTCACATGACTGGTAGGCAGGAAAACTTGCGAGATTATCGAAACTTGGAAAATGTTGGTGTGGTGAAATTTGGAAACAATCAAAAGTGTCAAGTCAAAGGTTATGGGAAAGTCACAAATGGGAAGTTTACAGTTAATAGGGTAGCATATGTCGAAGGTCTTCAACACAACTTGATAAGTGTTTTGAAACTTGTTGTGGGCACTAGTAATCAGGTTGTCTTCGATGAAGAAGGTAGTGTGATTTCGAACAAAGAAACCAAAGAGGTTCTACTCAAATCAAAGAGGAAAGGAGACATGTTTACCCTTGACATCAAACCAATTGTTGGTGTTCCCTCAGTCTATTTACTTTCGGAAGCATCATCTGATATGAGCTGGCTATGACATCGAAGACTTTCTCACTTAAGTTTCAAAAGCTTGAACAAATTGGTGGTAAATGATCTTGTTAGAGGCTTACCAGTTTTAAAATTTGATAATGATTCTTTATGTGCATCGTGTGAACAGGGGAAGCAACATCGACAAGGTCATCTAATAGTCATTGATTCAAAGATCAATGAACCTTTGGAACTTCTTCACATTGACCTTTGTGGACCTTCGACTATTGAAACTCTCAACAAGAAAAGGTACATCTTGGTTATTGTTGATGATTTTTGACGGTCTACATGGGTTTACTTTCTTCGATTGAAGTCTGAAACAACTCCAGTAATGATCGATCTCATCAAGCACATTGAACTTAGTTTGAGGAAGAATGTTAGAAAAATCAAAAGTGATAATGGCTCAGATTTCAAGAACCATGTTCTAGACTCGTTTCTAGCTGATCGAGGTATATCGCATAATTTTTCATCTCCTTACACACCTCAACAAAATGGTGTTGGTGAGAGGAAGAACATGTCTCTTTTCGAAGCAAGGACCATGCTAACATATGCGAATCATCCATAGTATCTCTGGGCTGAAGCAGTTTTGATAGCTCGTTTTACTCAAAATAGATCTTTTATTCATCATCGCTTTAACATAACCCCATATTAAATTATTAACAATAGGAAACCAAATGTCAAATTTTTTCATGTTTTTGGTTGCAGGTGCTTTATCATGAATCTTAAAGACACCCTTTCGAAATTTCAGTCTAAAGCTGATAGAGGGATATTTTTGGGATATTCTAATAATTATGTTGCATATAGGGTGCTGAATAAGCGAACAAGGAAGATTAAAGAAACTTTTAATCGTACTTTTGATGATCATTATGTAAAGCGTGTTGAAAAGAATTTTGAATAAAAACCAATCATCAATAAAACTACTGATGAGTCTCAAATTTAGAATTCTTTAGATTTTGATTATGATTTAATTTTCGGTGTTCCTGACAGGGAAATCGATGCAGAACTTCATGCGGATGACAATCATATTCCTGAAGTATCGAAGCACTGTGATGATTTGACTATAACTCAGGATGATGGTAGTTCACAATCCACAATGAATTCTCAAATACATGTTGAAAGTCATCCAGTATTGCCAGGTAATCAAGTGGAGATGGAGCACTTGGATTCGATACCTAATGTTGAGGGGGAGCATACTTTCGAGGGGGGGGGGGGCTGGTCAGACGAATGAAGTTGTCGAGGGGGAGCATTTCAATGATCATCCAATTGTTGAGGGGGAGCAAACTGGATTTTTACCAAATACTTCACATGATCAAACTGATATTTTTCATGATATGAATGATAATATGTGTAGTGAAAGTGAAGAACCAGATGCAATGTGCGAAGATGCACCATTGGTTTTGACCCTGCATATCCACCTATGGATAAATGGACAAGAAGTCATCCAAAAGAACAAGTTCTTGGTGATCCTCAAGCTGGAGTGTTAACAAGAGCTCAGCTTCATGCTAAGAATGAGGTACTCAATGTGCATCAAGAATTTTGTATGTTCAATGTTTTTATTTCGAAAATTGAACCAAATTTAGTTAAGGTTGCTATGGAAGAACCAGATTGGATTATTTCCATGCAATCCGAATTGGCTGAATTCGAAAGAAACAAGGTTTGGAGGCTTGTTCCAAAACCTACGGATGTGTCATCTATAGGCTTAAAATGGATTTTTAAAAATAAAACTGATAAAGAGGGTAATGTTATTCGAAACAAAGCAAGGCTAGTTGTAAAAGTATATTCACAAAAAGAAAGTATTGATTATGAAGAAACATTTGCCCCTGTCGCAAGACTCGAGGCTGGTCGAATATTTTTAGCTTATATAACACACAAGGACTTCGATGTCTATCAAATAGATGTCAAGTGCGCTTTTCTGAATGATGTATTAGAAGAGACGGTGTATGTAGAGCAACCACCATGTTTTATTAATGATAAATTACCTGATCATTGTTATATTCTCGATAAAGTTGTTTATGGGTTAAAATAAGCATCATGAGCCTGGTATGCAACTCTTACCAATTTTTGAAAGCAATCGAAATTTAAACAAGGATCGGTTAATCCCACTCTCTTTGGAAAGAAAGTTGGGACTCATCTCATGCTTGTTCAAATTTATGTCGATGACATTATTTTTTGCTCTACTGACCCTACATTGTCGAGTGAGTTTGAGAAGAATCAGTTCAAGATGAGCATGATGGGGAGAATCAATAGTTTTCTGGGATTAAATATTCGTCAAAGCAGAGAATAAATCTTTATCAATCAAGAGAAGTATTCACGTAATATGCTTGAAAAGTTTGGAATGATGAATAGTTTGAAATTTCTAGTACCTATGGTTGTTGGCACACGTCTTGGACCTTCGTTGGACAAGGCTGCTGTCGATCTCATATTGTACAGGAGCATGATTGGTTCGTTACTATACTTAACTGCTATTCGCCCTGATATTATGTTTGTTGTTTGCAATTGTGCTAGGTATCATTCAAATCCCAGGGAACCTCATCTAACTGCTGTAAATAATATATTTTGCTATCTCAAAGGGACAATTTCGTTGGGGTTGTGGTACCCTTTGAAAACAGAATTTTTCATACAGGAGTTTTCTGATGTGGACCTAGGAGGCTGTCCACTTGACCCAAAAAGCACAAGTGGTGGATGTTAACTTTTGGATGGGAAGCTTGTAAGCTGGAAATCGAAGAAACAAACTTGTGTTTCCATTTCAACAGCTGAAGCAGAATATGTTGTTGTTTTAGCTTGCATTTCACAAATCATTTGGATTCAAAGTCAACTGCATGATTATGGAATCAACATGAAAAAGATATCGTTGTATTGCGATTCACAGAGTGTCATACGCATATGTCATAATCCAGTGCAACATTCTAAGACCAAACATATCGCACTTCACTATAATTTTATCAAAGATCGTGTTGAGGATGGAAACATTGAGGTTCACTTTGTAAAGACAACAGATCAACTTGCTGATATCTTTACCAAACCATTAAATGAAAAGACTTTTCTAAGAATCTTGTCAGGCTTAGGCATGATTGATGCAAATGTTTTTCCTAGATTAACTTCATCATGAAGTAAAGCAGAGTCGACATATGGTTGATTGATTCCGAGGTTACTGTTCACCGTTCAGCGTTCGACATGCTTCGATTTTGATATTCCTTTGATTGATTAAGCACGCACTTCGTTTTTCTGAGGTGACATTGTTCACTACAAGAAAAAACCAAAATAACTACGGAAAATTCCATAGTTAAAACATGATATTCTGTAGTTAAACATGATTAGAGACGGAATTTGCTACGGAACTATTCTATAGCAAAATTCTTCGTTAGTAAAGGTTTGTTACGGAATCCGTAAAACCTTCGCAACAGAATTTACAACAAACTTATTCCGTAACAAAATAGCTATGAACTATACCTATAGCAATGTCGTAGCAAATTAACTACAATTTTTTCCATAGCAAGTCTGTAGCAAATTAACTACGACCCGATCCGTAGTTAATCCGTTGCAAGTTAACTTCAAACTAACCCCGTAGTTGATTTCCATAGAAAATCCACTACCGATAATAGCGTAGTAAATATTTCGTAGTGAATTTACGACGACATAATTCCGCATCAAATATTTCGTAGTATATTTACTATGGTTTATTTCCGTAGCATATTTACTACAATATACTTATGTTGCAAATATTTCATAGTAAATTTACCACGGCCTACTTCCGTTGCGGAAAAAATGTGACATAATAGATTCCATAGAAATCCAGCTACATAATACTACATAAAAACATCTGTAGTAACTCCATAAAAATATCAATAGCCAAAAATGGTGACATGATTAGTTCAAATAAATACAAAAAATGACTTAATTTTATTCCCAAAGCAAATTTATAACAAAATCAGCATTATGTAAATGCAATAACAATTTATCAAAAATATTGTAGAAATCCTATGTGAAATACTAACAAACATTTCTAAGTTACCAAAACATTGTTTATCGGTACAAAATATGACCGAAAAATAAAGGTTGCCACAAAAGAAGACCATTCTTTGCGAATTTCATCAATATGAGCATCTGTGTATCCATCTTTGCCACCCCCAACCTGAGAAAAAAATGTACTGCACTATAAAAAGGGAAGAGCATACAAAATCATGGGATATATAGAAAAAAATGTACTGCACTATAAATGAAAGTACATTGTTGTTTCTTGCATGCATGTAACCTACTGTTTCAATTATATAATTTGTCAAAACATGCTACCTTACATGTTATACTTTGTTAAGTTCTTGAAATTAGAGGAATGTAATAAAATGAAATTTTCGAAAGTTTAAGCTACATGTTCCTTTCTGAAAGTAACAAAAATGACATAATAGCATCCTACTTTGTCAAAACATGGAAACTTACATGATATGCTTTGGTAATTTCTTGAAATTAGAGGAATGTAATAAATTGACAAATTTTAAAGATTAAACTACACGTTCCTTTGCTCAAGTGACAAATACATATGTCAAAATAGCATCCTCTTTTGTTAAAACATGCCAACTTACATTATATGGATTGAAGCAATTAATTAGAAGTGTTGACATCAGATTAAAAATAGACAGATGCCTATTTCACAAAAGAAACTAATCAATAAAAAACATATCTAACCGGAATTAAATTCACAGATATTACATTCAATAGGAAAGACCAAACTAAAAAAGGGGTTGTTGTTGGAGGTAAGACTTAAGAGTAGCACTAGACATCAATATAAATTACCTCCCACGGGCAAAATAAGCTTTGGTTGTTCCATTGGGTTGCACAACCTCACAAACTCTCAACTCAATGTCATTTGTTGCTGCTATCTTCATGGCTCAACTGTCAAACATAATCATCACAAAAACATCACAATCACCACCACATTAACACAGTATGAGTATCAGTATCAAGGAGTATCAGTATCAATACCTTTTCAAACTTCCGTACGAGCCTCATGGACTGTTCCTGGCCTTCAGGATTCCGAGCCATGGAATGCACCCTAGCCAATGCCTTTTCCACTCCAACATATTTCTGTTTCCGACCTATTCTTAGAAAATCATATTCCGATTCTGAAGCTCTCAATTCCAGCCAGAATCCATGCAACCCACTAAGGAATAACTTTCTCCACTATCCCAACAGACCACACCACTTTTTTATAATGCTTTCGAACTTTATGCCCATGAAAATGTGCCAAAAAAAATCAGATCAATAAGATTCCCACTTAAATTAACAACATCAAAAAACTAACACCAGTTTACCTGAATCTTGACAATGCTGAAAGAAGATTGGTGAGATCATTTTTGCTAAATATCCAACAATCCCTTTATGCCCTTTACTCGATGCCAGATCAGCAGCCATTTGTCCACCTGGATTCATAGTTGTTGGGTCATCAACCACCTCTGCATACGCACCAAATTTCACCAGTGCCACCATTGTTTCTTCTCCGCAAAAAACACACTTTCTCATATCACAAACATTCAAGAAAATGATGCCCGTTTTGATCATTGACTTCAAAATGGATCAAAAGTCAAAACGTGCCATAAAGTGAAGCCCAATGGAGGGCAGTCCGGCCATGTGAATCTATAAAATTAGGGCTGACACCGGCGGTGACCGGACTGGAGGGCGGATGGAGGAGGCGGAAGGTGTGCACGTCGATAGAAGATACTTGAGGCGGAGGTCTAGATGTACACGATGTTGCTGGTTGTGAGCGGTCATAGTTAGAGGCTTGATGGTGGAAGGAATCGATCGGTCGTAGTGAGAGGCTTGATGGTTGAAGAAATCGATCAACTGAGAGATGGAGAAAAGGAAGCGGGTAAGTAGAGTCGATCGATTGTGATTGTGAAGGACCGCCGTTTTAGGTTTAGTGGTGTTAGTTTTTTTTATTCTTTTGATCGTGGGAGTTAGGGAAACCGTTTTTAAGGATAGTAATTAAGAGTCCCTCTTCTAAAATAGTTATAAAAAATACTTTAAACTATATTTATATTTAAAATAATATAAAAAAAATTAAAAATAAATAATATTATATTTTATATTAATCATATTTATTAAATAACTTATAAAAAAATCTTTTTAAAATTATATGAAAAATAATATCATTATCACAAAAATGAATATGATACTTCTTGTAAAAGCGTATGATTATCAGTTTGTGGTGAAAGTTTAAATATATCTGAAACAATTATCACATTTAACCATAATAATAACTAGTTAAATAAACTCAAAATATATTAAGTTAAACTTGGAATAAACTCAAAGTATATGGGGTGAGAGTAAGAGTATGGGATGAGTGTGGGTGCAGGGTAGAGTTAGTTGGATGGGTGAGTAGGTGTGGGGTGGGATAGCGACAGTGTTGGCTTGTGGCTTAAGGCGTAGGGCTTATGGCTTATGGTGTAGTGCTTACGGCTTATGGCTTGGGGTTAAGGATTAGGGCTCATGGCTTAGGGCTTACGACATAGGGCTTAGCTATGTCTTAAGGCTTAGGGATTAGGGCTTATGAGGTTAATGATGTACGGCTTATGAGGTTCATTCGGGGGCCAACACGCATAGAGAAGGACCACAATCAAACTAACAGGATGGGACCTCCCCACGCACCCACTACCACCACCAACAACAACAACAACTTGTTTTCTTATAAGGTTTTGGCGGTTCTTATAGACCTCAAATGCAACGTGGTTGCTGCTATAATATAGTCATATGTAGATATATAAAAAAATTTCTGTTCTCGAATAGAATGTGTCAGTCTCTAAAGTTCCACACATTAAAATCAATCGAATATAGTTTTGGAGAGTTATTCATTGGTCGTTCGGGATCGTTTAAGGGTCTAAACTTTACTTGAGAAGCTTCTAGACACTTAAAATTGCTTATTGGAAAATTTCATTGCATAATATTTATGATTTTTTTTATTTTATAGCATATAGTTGCGATCATTGACTCCATAGAAAATTTTGTAGCAGCATAGCTACGAATATTGATTTCGTAATAAATGTTGTAGCAAATTAGCTATGGACTTAGATTCGATAACAAATTTTGTAGCAAAATAGCTACATATTTTGATTTCGTAACAATTTTTGTAGCAAAATACCTATAAACTTAGATCCGTAGTAAATTTTGTAGCAAAATACTTATGACTTATAATTTCGTAGCAAATTTTGTAGCACACCAGCTACGAAATCCAATTACGTCGCAAAATTCCGTAGTTATCCGAATATTAGCTACAGAACATAATTATGTAGCTAATTATGTAGCAAATATAGCTACGTCTAACTATTCTGTAGCATAGTCCATAGTAGAATACCTACGGTTTTTAATACCGTAGCAACATTCCGTAGTTATTCAAATATTAGCTACAAAATGCAATTCTATAGCAAATTCCATAGTAGAATAGCTACGACAAGCCATTTTGTAGCATAATCCATAGCAAAATAACTATAGATTGTACTTCCGTAGCAAATTTCCGTAGTTATTTCAACGTTTTCTTGTAGTGGTTGTCGACGCTCATGTCTCAATGTCGATGGTCTTCATTTTGTTTGATGGGTAACATTTTCTTGTTTTTCATAGCTTTTCACATTTCAAAAATCAAAAATCCCAAAAAGATTTTATTTCTTTTGTATTTCCTTTTAAGAAAACCAACCCAAATCTTGATTCATGAGACTATGATGATGGTGAAACCCAAAATTTCAAACTGATTAAGGCATTCACGATGAACTTTATGTTCAAGATTTTAACGAAACATTTGTTTCATTACCTCACTTCGATATTCAAAATCATATTATTTCGTTATGCATGATCTTGATAAAATGTTCTTCGCCCAAGACATTTTTGCCCAACAAGGTCCAATATATCATCAATTTTTTTTCGGGATATGATTTCAGTCTGAATATCAACTTGAAATTTTTTTCAAAGCTACTTGTCACTGTCTACACTGGTCAAACAAGTAATTTTGTTTACAATTTCACACTTATGTTAAGTTGTGATATGTAAAGAAATTTTGCCTACCAACTAAGCCTATGCAAAAGAATCCCTTCGATACTCCTCTATGAGAATTCGATTGTAATTCACGGGAAACTACACAAGTTGTTCGACATCTCTCTTGATGTAGAAAGAAACGATCTTTGCCTGGGATCTAACTGCCTTTATGTCGAAATCTATTTGACATCACAAAACCATTTGTTATTTGTTCTCATCTCATTCGTTGGCACAATTTTGCACTGAAATCCTCTAGGTTCTGAGTAATACCAACTAAGGCTAAAGATTTCACAAAGTCTTGCATATGACTTCGCTTTTAAACCCAAAAGTGAAAGAGCCCAGCCTCCATGCCGAAGGTTTTGTAATGGTTCTTATCCCTCTTCGGGCAAGCGAAACGATTGATTGATGTGATGGTTTGGTTGTTTCACAGGTTTCAAGGAAAAAGTGTTCATCACTTTTCGGACGTGGATACTTTTACGGCTACAGGTCCGTTTTTGAAGGCAACACGTGGCATAAATTTATTGCTAACCGCTTCAAATTCAAACTTGGGGTTTACGTACAAAAGGGTTTTGGGGTCATCTAATTCAAACTTTACACGATCAAGCTAAAGACTTTCCCCAATTATCTTTTCCTTTCCTTAACTTTTTTTTCTCATCTTCAAACCCTAACAATGGCGGCCACAAATGTTAATGTTGATCCTTCTCAAACAACTGATGATGCCACATCTCAACCTCTATTGAAGATTCAAAGTACCAACTACAGAGTTTAACCCGATGTTACCAAGTATCCAGAAGAGTTGAAGGTGCTTATTGTTGCTCTTAATCACTCCGTGCTTTCCACAGTGATGTCCTCTTCATTCTCTGTTCCAATGACCTGGTTATCGCTAGCTGAATCAACTGTTGTATTCAACAAGAAGACAAAGGTTGTTACGTTTCAACTTACCAATGAGAAGAAATACAAACTGTCAAAGAAGCACTTTGCTCAAATCGTGAACATTCCTAATGTTGAACCTTTCTATGAGGTTACGAATAAACAAATTGTTCACATGTTCAATGAGATGGGTTATCAACCTCCACTCACCAAGATCAGTGATTTCAAGAAGTCATCATTACCATGTATTTTGAATTTCCTTTTTGGAAATTTTCTTCGATGCTTGACAGGTCGAAGTGTTGGGTTGGATAAAGCTAAGCTTGAGGTCTATGTAATGGTTGTTGGTTTGTATTATAATCTTAATGTGGATTATGGTACTTAACTATGCCAGGAGTTTGGTAACTGTATTGCCCACACTAGTGTTCCTAATGGTGTATCTTGTGCAAGGTATTGGAGTTTGATCTTGCAGTATGTGTACGAAAAAAGGGTATAATGGTTCCAGATGATGTTCCAAAAGCAGAATTTTCCTTGTATCTGTTAGGTTTTATGTACTCTAACATTCCTATGGTGCACATACAACCCTAATGCTTTGGATCTAAGTTTTCTCTAATTATACATGCAACATTGTTTTACAAAGCATAAAGCCTAAAGTAGCATGCAAGGTAACAATTTAAATCATAAAACAGTTAGAGGAGTACCTTGTGTAGTAGGTTGCTTGTCTTTGACCTTTAGGAGCCTAGAACCTCAAGTGTGATGCCTCAAATGTATTATAACAAACCAAGAACAAGAGGATGGACTTGAGAGAGAGGCTTAGGAGCTCAAAATCGGCTAGCAACTCTTAGTATGCATGGGGTAACCGAGTTTAGGTGTTAGAGGTTTCTTATATAGTCTAGCTTCACAGACATGCAAAACCTAACCCAACATGACCCTTCATATTTCATAGGCCCTTTGGGCTAAACCTTTATGGACCTGCATATAGATTTAGTCCAACTCTAATCAACATGGGTCATGAGTCCAACTACAAGAATTACTGATTTACTTAATCAGTCCCTATAACTTTAATTAATTTCTTTTGATCAATAAATTAATACCAAATTAATTCTTGATCAATCCTAATTAAATAATGTGATTCCTCAATTAATATATTATACTTATAATATATTAATAAACCACAATAACCTCTTCTTCAAGTATCCATCCTATCAAATTATTCTAGAGTGTTACAACCAAAATAGACCATGCTATTATCGGGTCAAGTACATACCAATTATAGTTATGGGCTTAGACACCTAATCCAACAGTATCAACATCCCAAGACGGTGGAAGATTATTCGGAGGAGTTTCCTTCAGTTTCTCAAATTCCGGATGCCATGCTTCATAAGGTGGATCTATCGTATCTTGTTCTTGTGGCTTATCTTGCCACAATCAACAATACTGTTAAAACAGGGGTTTTGTTACCCAAAGGAATTGCAGGCACATCTAAGTAAAACAAGTGGTCAAAGAAGGTTACCTAGGCTAGTCCATCGAAGCCTAGTCTTGTACTTTTTGAGAAGGAGGTTTCTAAGCCTGTTCAAGAACCTACACTTCAAGGGACTGAAAAAGAAGTGGTGCCTTCAAAATCTGGTGTTCTCAAACGAACGAATAAAATGGAACATAAGCCTCATCAATCACCTGAAAGAAGGCCAATTTTCGAAGAGGTTCCTGAGAAAACCATTTCATTACCAAAAGGTGTTTTACTTACTAAATCGAAGCGGATTCGCAAACCTCAATTAAGTCGAAAGGGAGTTACTATTCGTGAAATTACAGCTCCAGTTTCTCCAGCTTCAAAGAAATGTAAGACATGGTGAAGAAAATCATGAAGAAGCGAAAGGTAATACAAGATCCATTGGATGAGGTTGTGCTTGAAACCGAGTTTGAAGATAGCGATCAGTCTCCACCAAAGAATGATAACATTAGTTTCAATTCACCCTAGAGGGACTCACTAGTCAAGTCGACTTTCGAGGCGACTGGCAGTCTTAGTGGCTCTGTGAAAACATCTCATGTGG